AATCCAGTAAAATGTCAAATGTCATTCATCTTTCCATAACAACGTAAACAAATGTTTCATCATTATCGTACCATCTATACTGTAACAGTCATTCTGCTAGGGACACTGCACAACTCTGGACAAGTGATATTGATGTGTTTGATGACTCTTCCTCTATTTAGTTTAAAATAAAACAAGGTGTCCTGTAACCTGGACAGATATATGAGCCGCGTCACAACAAAACCAACATAATGGGTTTGCGACCAGCATGGATCCAGACCAGCCTGCACATCCGCCCAGTCTGATCAGGATCCATGCTGTTCGCTATCAGTTTCTCTACTTGTAATAGGGTTGGTAATCGAATGATCCATGCTGGTCGCAAACGCATTATGTTGGTTTTGTCGTGACGCGGCTCATATTAATTCCACTCCTAACAAACCAGATAACATCCACACAATCACTTATTATGTCTCCTAAAATTTTGGGAGACATATTGTTTTTGCCTTTGCGGTCCATCTGTCCCTCTGTTTGTCTGGTTGTCGGTCCGTCTGCATTATAGAGCTTGTCTGCCCTTCACAAGTGGAACTACTGGTGGAATTTCAACCAAACTTTACAGTAGTAATCAGTACCAACCTTAGCTAGGCACATCACTGGCACATTCTGCTTCGCTGCACAAAATAGCCGCCAGCTAGAAATAGAAAAATCTAGTATGGCCTTCACAGGTCAAACTACAAGTGGGATTTCAGCCAAACTTTACAGGAGTGATCAGAACCATCCCTAGACGAGCACATCCCCAGCATGCTTTGTTGCACAAAATTGCCACCAGAGCTAAAAATAAAAAAAATCTTGTCCGGCTTTCACATGTCAAGCTACTGGTGTGATTAGTACCATCTCTAGTTGTGCAGAATACTGGTAAATTCCACTTCGCTGCACAAAATGGTTGTCAGAGCTATAAATAGAAAAATCTTGTCCAGCTTTCTCAGGTCAAGCTACTGGTGGAATTTCAATGAAACTTCACATGAGTGATCATACATAGTTTTGGGAGACTTATGTTTTTGTGACAAAAAAACCCTTCTAGTTTGATTTAAATTCTAAATTGTCATTTACCATTGGCCATCATGCTTGTAAGATAAAATGTTCGAAAATAGTAAATTTAAATACAAGTATAACACTATCTTGCTCTGTTTGGCTTAAAACCAACCTGCATTTAATTAATATTATTCAAATTTTTCTTTTTTTGTTCAGTGTAGCTCATTAATATTTAACTATTAAATGTTTGGTACATGACATTGTATATAGTAAATTGTTTGCAAATGTTTAAAGGAGTAAATATAACAATGTTCTTGACTAAATCATAGTTAGTTTTATTTTAAAAGGAAGAAAAAGAAACATTTTTTATTCTTTATTTAACCATTTATAGACCTGCTTTTTCTTTTGATTTTGTGTAACTGTCACAGCTATGAAGTAAGCATGGTTGATTGTTGATTTCGGAAATTTCAGGATCTAAATAAAATAAACAATATTGTAGACTAAACAGGTACGTAGTATTGAAGGTGTGCTTGACTTAATGTACCTTATGGTATTTATTTCACTCTTGTAACTGCTTCTTTCAAATAATTTGTCCTAGTTATCAATTACAGAATTGGTAAAGAAATTGAGTGTGACAATTTAAAGAAACAATATATAAATGCTAATAATGTTGTTTTGTTGTTTGTTATTATAGAACATGAGGACATTAAAAGATCACCAGTAAAGGAGGTTTGGTGAGTATGTTACACTTATATACATTTGCTTGTACAGGTTTTATTTCTTTACTGGTGTCTTTCTAATTCAGTAGGTATATTTCTTGGTTGATACTTTAACATTTGGTGGAAAAGAAGTGGTCACATGGGGTCAAGGTTAAAAAGACTGATAAAAATTTAACTTATGCAGCATTTATTGACTGATGTCTTTCTTAATTTGTTGGTAGATACCTTGGGTTGTTCTCTAACTAAGATGAAGTTAGGGAAAACTAGAGTGACTGGTGCTTAAAAAAGTTTTTTACCCTTCTGCTTTTGCAGCCTTTATTGACTTATTCACATTGAATACAACATGCAGGTTTGCTAAGCTTTATTTGCCTTCTGGGATTGTCTTGGTACTCATTTACATAACTGATGTACATCAATCTTTACTTATATATTTTTGTTACAGGAAAAATAAGGATGATGACAAGGTGGCAAAGTTAGGAGAAATCCCCAAAAGTTATATAGCTGACATTAACTTTACTGACGCAGTTAAAGAGGTATTTATATACACTGACGATAGCACATTGATTTAACCTGTGACAAAAGAATCACTCCTTTTCTCTTTATTTAGGTATCATCTTATTATATAACAGGTTATTGTCAGATGAACAACAGAGAGAGGAGTGGAAAAATTAAATGTACCTTTCAAACAGATTTCCTGAAAGGAGGTCTTCATTCACCAGTAAAGCTGGAAGGATGCCAATTTTACAGTGTTGGTACCAAACACACAAACAAGTGCTTCAAAATTTGCCTTACAAAAATGTGCACTAAATCTACCTAATTAGACTACCTCCAATAATAAGTTGATTAAATATTCATAAAATTATATCAAAGACAATTTATGTGACTAAAGGCTCTATTTGCAGCCCCTATTCTTCTTTGTATTTGATATTTATACTTTAACATGAAAATTAATATGAAAATATTTTACTTAAAATGATATTAGATACACAGTGTTTAAGGTTACTTCCTGTATATCACAAGAAAGGTACATGCTTAAAATATATAGGTTACCAAGAGAGGAACAGTAATGGGAAGTAGCAGGGGCTTGTAAATTACAGGACATGTTACAAAATGAGCTGCGTAGGCTTGCAACACATGGTCCAGTGATTTTATTAATTCACAGTAAAAACAGTTAATCTGACCAGAGATTTTTAATGTTTCAAGTACTATTTGGTTTGGGCATAATTCCATTCTTTGGTTGAATATGGCCTGATGTAAATAAGTAAATCATTAGATATTTAGATAATTTTTCTATATGTGACAGTATTATTGCTTGCTGTTGAACAAATTATCAGATTCTTTACTATTGGCTGAACAAATGATTTGATTGCATGTTTTATAAATTTCAGGCACTGGAATCTGGGAAGACAAATGGGATGGACAATGCTAAAGCATTACTGGAGGGTATAGTTGAATCATGTATGTACAGTATATTATTCTCCAAAGTTATACTTACATAAGTCAAGTCCTTTCTTAGTCATACCTAGAACTTGATTTCTCACTTACCAGATAGAAAAATCCGTAAATGTTACTAAAAATAGCGGTGTTGGAAAATCTTATCTCACATGGGCTTATCTAACACTCAACGTGTAGCACTCAAAAAACGTATTCCTACACATATTCACTCCTATTTTAACAAAAATGAAACGTCAAAATGTATTAAAAATACGTGAGCTAATCTATTAAATTGTCCACGGAATCAAAATAGATTGATATAAACTTTCACAGTGCAATGAGTCCTACTCTACCTAGGTCAGCCCTTTTCAATATCGATCTGTTACTAAAAATAGCACACTTTAAAATATCAAAAAATTCTTGGTAAAATCGGTTATAATGACACTTTGCCTGAAAAACATTCATGTTTTCTGTTATGATAATGATGCTTCTTGATGACAAATCTCATTTTGATATATTTTAATTGAATATTCAGCCAAAATAACCGAAGAAGTAGAAAAATCTTTGCAAACGGTTAACCCTTTCTGTCAATCATTGAAGTATGGACTGAATTCCTTATACTATGACACCTATATTATGACACTTTCCGACTTTAATATTGATGTGTTTTATCATGATAACCTTGCTTTTTGATGAGGGATCTCATATGAATTTATTTTCATTGAATTTTTACACATAAACTTGGTCAGTAGAATTTTTTGCGGACTTTTAATCATAAAAAGTCAGACGCCTAAGCCCCGCCCTGCTTTTCAAAACTAGGTACGTTGTAATGTGCGTAGCAAGTAGTTTCATTGATTTCTTGTGTGTCCTGGTGAGTGAGAAAAATAATCATAATCAATCATTGGGTTAGATAGAGGATAGGGAAATCCCAACCCTCGGGCAATCGGTTCCTTCGGGAACTCGCCAAGGCTCGTTCCCGATGGAACCGATCACCCTCGGGTTGGGATTTTCCTATCCTCTATCTAACCCTATGATAGATTCTATTATTCCCATCTTTTACTATATAACATAATTATTATATCATGTTCTGTGTACATGTATACATCAGGAATGACTGCAGTCAATATTTTAAGGGGGAAGACTGTTCTCCTGACATAGAAAACCAAAGTTTTTGGGATTTGGAAGTCATTTGGATTCTTAATGGGTACAACATGTAAATGGAGTGTCAATGCTTCAAAAAAAATTCAGGGAGCATAACTATATCCAACTTTGTCATTACATAGTTTAGTACTTTTGTAGTTCTGTCATGCTTTCCTGCAGTTTCTTATTGACAAGATATCTCTGATAATTGTTTGAAATGGCCTTTCTGCAATAGGTCATCCTAGTATGATAAAATCTATCTAATTGAAATAGTTGATGAGTAAATATAAATCATATGTTAACTAGGTAACTTTTGCCATCTGATATGTCTTGTTAAGGTCATACACCAGTACTAGAATGACCTGGAGTATAAAAAAAATAATGCTAAGAAGTGCACAGAGCAAAGTAAGCTGAAATTGAATCAACAAATTATGTGATTTATTTGATAATTCTTTGCAGTTAGATAAGATATTACACAGGTTGGTGTTTAAATTTTCACACTTAAAATTCCTAATCCTTAACCTGCTGGTGAAACTCTATACAACAAGTGCAGACAAAAATCAACCAGCCTGTTACTGCTCCCTGATCATGGTCTGCACTGTTTGTGATTTCCACTGATTGTGATTCCAGTAAATATTTTGAAAATTCCTAAAAATTAGGAATGGTTTTGTCCAGATGGAAAGATGGACAAATTTATTTAAGATATTTTGGTTGGTGAGGGATAGATAATCAATGGCCTTTTGCTTATTCAAACCAGGCCAAGTTGTTTATTTACACATATAAAATAGGGTTAAGTTTAAAAGAAGGACAATTTTTTTAGATAGCATCAAATATCTTCTTTTTTTTTGTTTTCAGTGAAGTTGGCAAATGTAGATAAACAACTGTATGATGTGTTATGCTTGATGTTGTCTAAAGCTGTGAAAGAATATAATTTGTTCCACACCATTGTCATGGAAACAATAAATATGTTAAATGGTACGTTTTTATACGGTACAGTCGACTCTCGTTATCTCGAAGTCATTGGGACCGTCCAAAAAATATCGAGATAACGAAATGTCGAGATAAACATATTAGGGTTAGAACAAGGCGAAACTGATTTTTACAAAAGACATGTGGATACCTTATGTCAAATAAACTATAATATCCCCATGTCTTGTTTTCATAGGCCTAGTCAATATTTAACAAAGTAACATAAGCGGATGTTTACCAGCGGAAATACGGGTGTCTGTGATAAAAACACATAGTGAGGTTTACTCAGTAATACACCAATATAGTGAATCGGATATGGTTGATCCGGATATCCTCCCGGGTTATTTATCGGGTCTTTCTCGAGATTGTTCCACCGCTGATTGATTTGGTGGTGATGTTGTGAAACAATATTGCAACGATAGCGTTTCTATACTTTCACTTTTTCATTTACATTTAAAGTCATAATGAATTGATACAGTGTTCGAATATTTAAAAAGAATGTAAAATTCACTCATTGTGGACATAAGTCAATCAACACGCTAAATAGATTAACTTTTATAAAAACAGCTAAACTTGTTACAAACATAATCGACATTATGACACGCGCTATTAATTGAGCAATTATCGTTTAGATTGTGTTTTTCACACGTCTGAAGGGAACGGACGAAGTCGAGATAAACAAAGGATTATAGTGTAAAAATAACTGTTGGGGCTGAAATTTTACATCGAGATACTGAAAATATCGAAATAGAAATATCGAGATAAACAAATATTTCCAATAAAGATAAAGAAGGAAGAAAATCGGGACTTTCAAAATTTCATCGAGATAACGAAATATCGAGAAAAGCGATGTCGAGATAACGATAGTTGACTGTATTTAAATGTCCATAATTTCTTTAAAACAAAAAGAAAGATCTTTAAAGACCTTCCAAGAAACTGCAATGCCCAAAGCTAAGATATTTGGTATGTAGCATCACATTGGGATCCTCTATAAAAGGTGTATAAATCATGCTGCTGGGATCAGACTCAGCCCCAAGGGTTACAATGTCCTTATTTTATATAGATTTGTATAGGAAAAAACATTTTAGTCTTCTTCTGTAAAACAACAATGCCCAGAGCTTAGATATTTGAAATGTAGCATTGCCTGGTAGACATGAACAAAAGTTATAAAATTCAACCCTTAGGAACACCTAGGTACATAGACTTTATAGTAATAGTGTCATAAAAAATCTTTTTAAATTACAATGCCAAGGGGCTAGATATAATGCATGTACACTACAGTCTACTCAAAAGTGATAAATAATGACTCTGGATTCAAATTGACCCTGCCCTTTGGGTCACTAAGTTATTATAAACTTGTAAAGGAAATTACATTTATGTCTTCTTAATGCTTAGAGCTTAGATATTTGGCATGTAACATTGCCTAGTGGACATATAAAAAAAGTTAAATAAGGTATGTTCTTGTGGTCAAAAATGACCTCACCCTCTATAAAAGATATGTAAATCATATCCCTGGGGCCAAAAAAGGATCCTGTGGTAGGTTAATAAATATATAGACTTTGTTTGTATTGTATAAATGAATTAAATTAGTAAAAATGTATTAAAAATCTGTTTCTTTGAAATAACAATGCCCAGAGTTCAGATATGTTGCATGTAGCATAACCCTGTGATCAAAATTTAAGCTGGTGTCACTTAGTGTATGTAACCTTGTATAGGAAAATACATTTTTGTCTTCTTTTATGTAACTTTAATGCCTAAAGCAGAGATATTTGTCATGAAGCATCAATAACATCAATCACGCATCTACAAATATTTTGAAATTATGATAAAAAATAAAAAATCCAATCCAGTTGTTACTGAATTTGTGATCTTTTCTAGCAAATGTATCTAAGGTGAGGGATCCAGGGCCAACATGAACTTCTTGTTCATATATTGTTACACTTGCACTTGTTTTAGTAATACATGTAGATAAAAGAACTTATTACATGTGAGCAATTAAAGACCCATTATAACTCTTTGGTATTTCGTACTTTTTTACAGGTTTAAAAATATATTTTTGTACTTGTTCTAATGTGTAGATAATCTGGAGATAAAAGAGAGCCTTGCCAAGGCTCTGAAGAGACAGCAAGAGTTGTGTGTTCGAGTCCCAGCACCACGTCATCCTCAACACTTAAATTTTTCTAAGGTGATGGCACATGTCTACAATATGGCTCTTGATTGGAGTGATAGGTAATTTCTGATTATTTATTTGTAAGTTATAAGATAATCAAGATAGCTTACAAGAAAAACCTGTTATTTTACTAGAAATTGCAGTCTGCTAATTTTCCACTTGATTATTTAAAGAATAGGGAGAGCTATGGTACTCGCCCTGAGTCTGTGTCAAACTTTGGTTCAGTTTTTTGGTATGGAAGGGAATAGGCTGAAACTAAACACACTTATTCAAGAGGATAAAAGGAGGTCACTTTCTAAGGCCCATAACTCGAACATGGATTTTGACAGAATTATGGCCCTTTTACAACTTAGAAAATTGAACATGAATTCAAGGCTCTTGTTTTACTATCAATCACTGAGAATAGTCTAGCAGGCTGTCCAACCAACAGCTCTTGTTTTAAATGCTTAAACATTTCATTTCTGATCATAGTATGTTGATTTACTTACGTTTATTGTTTTTCAGGAGTAAGATTTTTTTCATTAGTTTTTATGTAGGTATTATTCATGTGTTTTACAGCAATGCTAGCATTCAAGATGGTATTCTTCAAACAGTAGAGAAATGGATTTTGTTCAATAATAAGGTAAGGACCTTTTCCTGTTTTTGAAATGCTATTGTTTGACAAAATCTAGAGTTCTACTGAGAGAAGAAAAAAATGTGGAGCTATTATCATGACCTTCTGTCAGCATTTGCATCATGATTGTTTAACTTGATTGGTTTTTCATAAATATGACATTTTCTGAGAAACTATAAAACCGCTTTACTTGGTATTCATGTTTATAATCATAAAAGGATGCAATTTCGAAAGGGCAGATAATCCTATTTTTTCAAAGTTACATGCCCCTTTTTTAACAATTTTGCTGAGGTCAATACCTGATACTGTCTAGTAAAGCATTTGAAATACTCATGCAGTTATAAAATGCATGCTGATGGCAGACAGATTTTATTTACAGAGTTATATTTGCTTATAGTCTCTGTTAGGGCAAAAGCTTGTGTTTGTTCCCCTTCATGTTATTTTTTTTCATTTTGGCTTCAAGTGGAAACATAATAAATATTTTTTAAGCAGCCTGCCTCACAAAAACAAGCCAAGTTTTCAGTTATGACAGGTAAAATCTCAAAAAAGACTTCTTACATTGAAAAAAGAATATTATTTAAAGAATGTTTGCTTACAAAGTTTGTAGAGAAAGCCACATTACTTAGCACAGACAAAATTATAAATTCTGTAATATTTATATGTATCGTCTGTCAAACAAAGAGAACAGTATTTCGAACCCTGTTAATTCTTTGACATTATGACTTCATTTAAGAATGGATTTTTTTTCTCTCTTACTGGTTACATGATGAGTTTGATTTTTAAAAAAGATATCAAGTTAACATACAGAAATTTTGTACTTGGAAATAAAATATAGGCAGAAATTGAGGTCTTTCCTGTCTCAGGAAAAAAAGGTTACATAACGCAGTGTTTATGTAACTCTTACCCCTTCCGGGACGAAAATACTTGTACTGAGGAACTCCTTAAAGTTTTTGTTATTTTGTACAATTAATGGAAGTTTTTTTATTCTGGAAATACATGTATTATAACAAGTTGGTGTGGGAAGGTTTCTTTATAAATCAAAAATATAAGAATAACTTGCTGTATTTGGTTAGATGTAAATGAGATATTTACAGTCAGTTGATGCTCCTGTAATCCTAGCTAATGAATTATCTTCACTTATATCAAAATAGTATATATGATATCCTTTAAAGGTTAAGTGCTGTTTGGGAATGTCATAAAGTGTATAAAGCAATATATCCACTGCATAAATTATTGTTTTAATTAAAAAAAGAATACTTCAAAAATGCTTTTATTAAAGAAATATGGTAGTAAATTTCCATAAAAGGCAAATTGCACATACATGAAATCTTTGCTTAACCGATAAAATTCTACTTAAAATAGCAAAGTTATATTCTGTTCCAGAACATTTTATTTTGTTTTTATGTTCTATATTCACGAGTGTTAAATAAAAGAATTATTCTATGTTACAACTCTTTCAAGAATCGACCATAAGATTATTTAAGCAATATAATTTTACTGTCAATATTTTTTTTTCTCATTAGATATCACTTTATTCCCTTAATTACTATGATATATAAAAACAGAAAGTATTTAAAACATAAACACTATTATTGACTTCAAGCCATATATACAATGACAGTGTTCGAAATAAGCAGTAGTCCTATAGCCCCTGACTACTTAATTGCCTCTCAGGCTACCAACTTTTCACAGTAACAAGCCCGACTAGGCTACTGTATTTTCAAAGGCAATATAAACAACTGTTTTGAACAAATAAATCGTGCTAGTGAAATGTCTATTGGGCTAGTGAATTTTCCAGTCTGGTAGTCCGACCAGCCTAGTCGATTCAAATCCTAATTTCTTACACTGTTATGTAAAAGAAAAAGAACTTGATTACTACAAATATTATGGACCAACCATTAGTCAGGACCTTGAAGCAAAAACAACAGACAAATATTTTTTGCCATCACAGCATCCCAGGGCAATCATAGGTTTTCCCTATAAACATACAGTAAAATTGTTACATTTTCTCCTCCAAACCTACTAGGGCAAGACCTTAAATATTTTAATACCATGAAACATCATATAGGCACTTCTTCCATGACTTCATATTATAGCCTTAGGGTAAGTAAGTAAGTAAGTAAGTAAGTAACAACTTTATTTAATGAGGCAACACAGTTGGGCAAGCCCAGTCTTCCCTGTGAGCCTCAAAAATTGAGGGTCAAAATTGGACCTGCCCAGGTTTTAAAAATTTTCACTATGTACATATACATGTAAAATAGTCTTCTCTAAAAGGACTAGAGCTTAGATATTTAGCATGAAACATTGCCTAGTGGACCTCTACCAAGTTGTTTTATTGAATTTTCAAATGAAAAACACTATAAATGAGCCGCGTCATGACAAAACCAACATTATGGGTTTGCAACCAGCATGGATCCAGACCAGCCTGCACATCCGCACAGTCTGATCAGGATCCATGCTGTTCGCTTACAAACCCTATTACAAGTAGAGAAACTGATAGCGAACAGCATGGATCCTGATCAGACTGCACAGATGAGCAGGCTGGTCAGGATCCATGATGGTCGCAAACCCATTATGTTGGTTTTGTCATGAGGCGGTTCAAATATATATTTTTATAAAGTCCAGCTTATGATAGTAAATGCTTTACTATATAAAAGAAGGAATATTTTGATCAGTGTTATGTTACTAGAATCTGTTTCAAGGTTATATTTTGATATTGTTTTGATCTTCACCTGTACGACAGTAAGGATTGTAAAGGTGTGAAAGTTATTTGGAATGTGTGATTTTCTTTGCCAAAACATCAAAACAAAGTAAATAATGTACATGCCAAATATCTTGTATTATGGAATCAATAAAACAATATGTGTTTGTTTGTTTGTTCCTAGTGTTATATTATATTGTCAAGGTCTTTATTGTCTAATGACCTCCCTGGTGTAATTATGTTTTCTTTCTAGACAATTTATCCAAAAGTTATTAGTCTTCCGGTATTTAATTAATGATACGTTCGCAGTTATTTGTTCATGAGAATGCAGTCTAATGAAAATCATTGACAGATTGGAACTTTCAGGATAGCAGTATAGAGATATTGCAATATCATATTGAACCATCATTATTCATTGACCTTCCTTATGAATCATTAACTTGCAGACATTTTTAGATGCAGTGCAATTTTTTATTCCAAAGAAGTAAATTTTAAAGTTTATTTCTAACTATGAATGCATATGTTTACATGTCAGAGCATTCTATCAAATTGAAGAGAAAAATAAATATACAAAATGGGCTAGTTTGTTAGTTCCATAATATTTTTATGATCCCCTAGTAAATAGCTCTTTTGTATGCCACTGATGGGTTGCATATTAAAATCCCACTGTCCGGACTGTAACTTTGTCATACATTGAGGGATTTTGAAATAGATCGGCACAAATGTCTACCATGTCAAGACGTTGTGTTGCATCCAAGAACCATGTCCCTACCTCAAAGGTCAAGGTCACACTAAAATTTTGAATTTTCACATTATCACAACTAAAGTTGATAGGTATACATATTTGTGTCCGGACTGTAACTTTGTCATGCATCCCAGGATTTTAGAATAACTTGGCACAAATGTCTACCACATCAAGACAACATGTCACATCCAAGAATCTTGTCCCTACCTCAAAGGTCAAGGTCACACTACTATTTTGAAGTTAACTTTATGATTATCACAATTAGAGTTTATAGGTACAAATTACATGTCCAGACTGTATCTTTGTCATGCATCGAAAGGATTTTAAAATAACTTAAGACATAAATGTCTACCACATCAAGACGACTTGTCATGTCCAAGACCCATGGGCCATGTCCCTACCTTCAAGGTCAAGGTCACACTTTGAAGGTACTCATTCTCTGGAGAAGAGTTTGAAGATAAAAGAAATTTCCGGACTGTAATTTTGTCATGTGTGGAAGGGTTTTTTGAAATAACTTGGCACAAATGTCTACCACATCAGAACGATGTGTCGTCAGTAATTGTCAATATTTTGGGGAAATTGGATTGGAAGAATATCAGAAAATATATCAATAAAGTTCAATGCTCACTCCTTAGTGAAATCATTAGGGTATCAACATTTACTTTTCTATGTCTTAACCTTCAGTACAAATTCATTTTATTTTTAATAAGCATAATCTAGTTCCCTTCAACGTGTATGCAACATTTACTTAATTTATCTATATATTTATGAATATGTCATTATTTCTGTACACTGTAAAAAATATATTTTTCAGTGAAAACATATTTTTTAGTTTTAATCACTGGTGTTAGCTTTTTTCAAAATTCTGCCAGTACACAAAATTTTAGGGAAAAGTCTTTTCAAAATTGAAATGTCAAAAAAGAGAAAAATATATAATTAAACAGAAAATTTCAAGCGTTTTTTCTATAAATAAAAGGATTTTATTTTTCTTCTTCAACTGTGTACTACCGCCACTCTCATGAAATATTTATTTTC